GGTAATGAAACTTGCCTTACCAATACCATCCCATATTACCATCTTTAAATTTATTTTCTCAATTATCAATTAATTTAAGTCATTCAAAATTCAATCTTAAAAGCTCAAAATTATCTTAAAAACTTATTTTCTCCATACCATTCTTCATCATCTTGAAGCATACAAATATATAATTATACAAGACATGCACACATAAAAAAAAAAAAAGAACTAGCAATAATTAAAAACTATGTAAAATAAAAATAAAAAAGAAGAGAAAAACGTGAGGAATGTTCCCAATCTTTCCCTCCTTGGAGCCCCCTCCCCCCAATTCTGGCCATCACCACCATTTGCATTGTCGCCATCACCACCATTTGCATTGTCACCGTCACCACCGTCACCATCATTGACCATCACCTCCAGTTTCGATCTCCATCTCTAGCAGCTATAGGTTTCTTCATCCATCTCGCTCCATCATCAAAAATCCATCTCCAGATCTACTTGCCTCTGCCCTGTAGCAGCTGCAGGCCACAGATCTGGGGGTTTTTGAGGAGTGGAGAAAAGAGAGAAATTCTCTCTCTGGCAGAAGAGAAAGAAGTACAAGAAGAAAGTTGGGTAAGGTTAATGAGATATTACTATTTATATTGTTGACAAAATTACAAAAATTGCCACTATTTTAGGAAAAAAATCATTAAAAATATTCTAAAGTTGAAAAAAAAAAAAGTTTTGGACAAATGGTAAATTTGATAATTTGGAGGCCCATATGGTAGATATGGTAATGACTTACAATATCAATCCTATACCACAAGTTTAAATGGTATTATTATATCACTATTTAGACCTACCATATGATAATTTACCATACCATTTCCATTGGTAATGGGACGGTACAATGATAATTGTGGCATTTATAGTATAGTGCCCAGCTCTAATCACCACCATGTTACAATGGTTAGAATTTTTTGTTTATCATCAAAACAAACTATATACTCCCTCTATTTCATTTTAATAAACATTTTAGAAGATTTTTTTTTCTTTTTATTTATTGTTATTACCTTTCAACGAATTATTATTATTTTTTTGTTTTAGTTACACAATGAGAAATAATCATATCTTATTTTTTATTTTATACTATTTACATGTCATATGATTTGAATATAAAACTTTTTATTTCTAATGAAAAAAAATAATCATTAAATTATTTAGATCATTGACGTCTATTATTAATTACCTCTCTTTCATGTTTGCCCTCCACAAAGTAGCGCCCAAATTCCGCCGTTTCTTCGTCTTCTTTATCCAAGGAGAAAGAGTCTCTAAAGAAGCTAGAACCATTAATATATTTTCAATAACTATCTGCAATGTATTGATCTCTCTAATCCAATTTAAAAAAATAAGAAAAATCAATCTTTGCAATCCAATTTCGAGCTATTTCCACCATTGTTGCTTTCGATTAAGCTCCTCTATTTCTCTGCAATCAATCTTTTTCGTATTCAATCACATGCATGTCTACAAAACAACATATTTATTCAATTGGGTCTTTCCTCGAGTACTAATTAGATTTTTTTTCCCCCGAAACTTGAACAAAGTTTTATGATTTGGCTGCTTAATTGTAGATTTGAGTGTACTTTTCACATTTGATTTTGGTATCAATTTACAAAGAATTGACTAGCTAGTAGTATTAGTAAATTTGAAAATGGTTGGAAGAATGGTTAATGATGATAAAAACCTGTCTATTGCAACACAGGATTGAGCGAAATCGAACAAAGAAGCATCAATGATGATGAGTACTTGTATTGATTATTGAGTTATTTGAGAAATTATAAAATCAGAAATAAAATATTACTTTACACATTATTATTTTTATAATAAAAAATTAATTATTTTCTTAATTTGTGTGCTCTATCTTAAAATGTCTATTAAAATAAAACAGATGGAGTATATTGTGTAGCCAGAACATTAAATTTCACTAAAAGGGGTTCCACAAAGCTAGTGAATAATTTATCAAAATCATAGAGTATGTTTGTTGGTAATTTGGATGAGCTTAATTCCCAACAAACTTTTGGAAGTTGATGCCCATGCGAACAGAATGGGCTATTGGGATGCCTTAACTGAAATCAACATTCCCGGGTGTCATCAAAATGGCTAGTCTTCTTGTAATATTGTCTACTTCCATGTCATTAAACTTTTGGGCCTAGTTTGTGGAAGGCAAATGCATGTAATTACATGGCTTTTAAGGTCCTAATAACTAGTGATCTTCTTGTTTACTTCCAATTATATATCTCAATTATGCCCTACAGAAAGTAAGAAGATGGTAACATTTTAATGCTAAATGATTATTTTCTTTCAATATTATTATGGTATATGGTTTTTTCGAGTCTAATGACATTAGTCATATTGAATAAATGCACTCTTTTTTTTCGGGTTGATTTGATCATGTTTTATATCAAATTATTCAAAAAAAAAAGTATTATGTATTCAACTTGTATAAAATATAAATTTTATTAAAAAATATAAAGATATAATTGTAACATAGATTAATATAAAGGAAAAGTTATTGCCAGCCAGGGAATGAATTATTGGATGTGATATAAGTGGGAGGCAAAGATATAATTATGGATTATTTTATATCATATTTATATCAATAGCTAGGGAATATTATTAATGTTTGACAGTACTTTAGCTGTGTAGGTCAATCAGTGCATGAATCAATTTATTCTTGTCAATTTAGACCTGCCCTAATCACTTTTAAAACAGCAAATTAAAGTTTCCTTATTCGAGAAACATAATATATTCATACAAGGTCCCATCACAACTATAAAATAGATGAATTTATAAGTTTTAATTTTTAATTTTATAAGAAAGGGCGTTTAAAACCTATAATTTAATAATTAAAAATCAATTTATAGAATGTATCCAAACCTTTAAAATTGGATTCGAAAGCTTCCACCTCAATTGTAAACCGTTCAAACAAAAAATTTTTTTAGGAAAAGAGGACAAAAATAAAAAATAAAAAAAAAGAGGAGAGAAAGAGAGAACTGTTTGGAAACAGTGACAGGACTGTAACCTGAATCAATCTGGTGCGGTATTTTCCACTCCTCGTCAGATCGTCCCTCAACCACTCAAGTCAAAATAAAATCCATTTCAAAACGCTGTCGTATCACGCTATGAAACGCCTCCGTTTTTGACCGCCAGAGCAGGTTCATGGCAGCATCAACTTTTCCCTTTTTAAAGCACTGCCATCTCACTCGTCAGGAAGGCACCTTCCTCCCCTTTTCCTCCCTCCTCCCACCGCCCTCTGATTCGTTGACCTGAAAATCGCCGGTCACCGGAGCGCCAGTCACTGTTTGAAGTTCAAGATCTGTTAATTAGCCGACTCTATTTCAGCAATCCAAGGTCAGATCTTCTTTCTAACCCTTAACTTTGCTTTCTAGGGTTTTAGTATTAAAGTTACATACTTTAACATCTAGCCTTATTCTCCTTCGTTTCTTTCAGATCTGATTGGATAGCGAAACCAGCTGTTTTGGAGCGAAGTGCGGCGATAACCCAGTCCAGTTTTTGAGGTTTGGATGTAGTTTCGCTTTATTTGCAGATCTGGGTCTGGTATTGCTTGTCGTTTTGATTCCGTTAAGTTGTTGAATTGGGAAATGTCTATTTTGTCTAAGGGGGATTCGATTCAAATTCGAGAGGTGTGGAATGATAATCTTGTGGAAGAGTTTGCTTTGATTCGTGAAATTGTTGACACTTATAATTATGTCGCTATGGATACGGAGTTCCCCGGCGTGGTTCTGCGTCCGCTGGGGACGTTCAAGAACATAAGTGACTATAACTATCAAACTTTGAAAGATAATGTTGATATGCTGAAGTTGATTCAGTTGGGTCTAACTTTTTCGGATGAAAGTGGAAATCTTCCTACTTGTGGAACGGATAACTTTTGCATCTGGCAATTCAATTTCAGAGAGTTTAATTTAAGTGAAGACATATATGCAAGCGATTCAATTGAACTGTTGCGCGAGTGTGGGATTGACTTTAAGAAGAATAATGAGAAGGGTATTGACGTGAATAGATTTGGAGAGCTTTTGATGTCATCAGGGATTGTGCTGAATGATAGTGTGAATTGGGTTACATTTCACAGTGGCTATGATTTTGGGTACTTGCTTAAGTTGTTGACATGCAGGAATTTGCCAGATACACAAGCAGGGTTCTTTAATTTGATCAATACATATTTTCCTATAGTGTATGATATCAAGCATATGATGAAGTTTTGCAATAGCCTTCACGGCGGATTGAACAAGCTAGCGGAATTGTTGGAGGTGGAAAGAGTCGGTGTGATGCATCAAGCTGGCTCCGATAGCTTGCTCACATGGTGCACGTTTAGGAAGTTGAGAGATAACTTTTTCAATGGCTCTACAGAGAAATATGCCGGTGTATTGTACGGCCTTGGTGTGGAGAATGGGCAGAGTACTAATTAGAAGAAAAAACCTAGTCGGAAAAAATTGATGAATGTCTGTAGACTACGAGTGTGAGACTTATAACTTTCGTTGTATACATTGGAAAAATGATTGTTGTTTTCAACTTTTCATTGTTACTTTTCTATATTTTCTTGCATCGTAACAGAAACCTTAACTGGTTTTGTAGTTTGAGTCAGTCTCAGTGTATATTATATCAATTAGTGTTTCAATAATAATTTTAATGATTCACATCTCATACTCTCCACACTCTTCATTTATAGTTCCCGTCTTGATTTCTGGTATATTCTGGTATGCTTTCTGAATGGTCGATGGAAATGTCATAATTCATAAAGCCTTAAATCAAGAGCGGGCTGCTGACTTGTTTCTGGGATTTAAGGTTTCTGAGTCACAGTAAGAGAATATTTTAATCACTGTTCTTCAACCATGAACACTATATATATATATTTTTTTTGGTACCACCCGGTATCGGAAGCTTATTGAATTACCGACTAATTCGAATTTGAGCTGGTCAGATCCAATGGGCGACAAAATTTTACTTTATGAGTTTTAACAGAACTGTATTATCAAAACTTGAAACCAAAACTTT